AGGAATAAAGCCTCACAGAAAATAGAAAGAATTTTAAAAGAAAAAGGGCTTTTACATTTTCCCCTTAAGGTGATCAATTTAAAAGGCTGTTTCCATCCTCAAGATAAAAGTTTGCTTTTAGTTTAAAACAAATTGTATTTTCTCAGTTTTACAATAAGGGAGATATTTTAGATAGATTGTTGAAAACAAAACCAAAAACAAACCATAATTTCCATAAATAAAACTTTGTCCCTTGTCTCAAAAAATATATATTTCGGTGATTGATTTGGTCTTTTATAGTTATAGTAAGAACGTTTTCCTCATTTTAGATTATACAGCTAATAAAACTGTCTTGTTCTAATTACAGTTTTCTTCTTGACATCACATACAGGATTTGCTACAGATTTAAAAGTCTTTGGTGCTCTCGTGATTCCTAGTGATGTTAGTATAAAATATATTAGTATAAAAAGCTTCCGTGTTTTACTAATAGATATAAAAGTTTAAAATACAATCTAAAAGCAGTGCAGTTTAAACAGTCACTTGATTTTGACATCCCATTTAAATAATGGCAGGCCTAGTGTCAGCCTCCACAGAGTACAAGCTACAATAACTTTTTCATATTTGGGTCACCTATTCCAACAGACAATGTACCCAAACTGTTTAGATCAACCAAAATGATTTTCAGACTATTTGGTGACATTAATTGGCTCCATGCAGATTTTGGACTAATTTCTCTGGTGTTATTAATTGTCATTATTCTTCAGACAAGTTATTTCAAATTGCTTCTGTTTTCACAGATGGGTCATCTTAGGTTAAGGGATGGTATATGACAGCCTCCTCTTCCAAAATATTGGATACAGGTTTCTTACTTTATGATCAAAATTCAAATTACAAAAACAAAAGGGGGAATCAATCCCTCCCACATTACTTGTGGATATATACTAATTAAACTTTTAAAATTTTGCAAAAGATAAAAGTACAGCAGCAGAAAGACAATTCCATCAGGTAAAAGAGAAAAGGTTAAGAAGAATCCTTTGGAGATATCTCCATACAATGGAAGGGACCCAGTCCACTATTTACCTGAGGTAGAGGGTACGCTTGTGTTTCTCCAGAGAATGCTGAGCATTTGGGCACCAGAGTGCATTGTCCGGCTATATCATGAACTCAGATCTGGAGAAGTTGGTTCTACCTTTCAGGGAGCTAATGTACAGTCTTGTGACAGTAACACCTCAGAGACTGCTCTACAGCCGATTACACTAAACCTGACCTGGGACCAACCAAAGAAGTTGACCCAGAAGGCTCAGGAAATAGTAATCAAAATGGGAATTAAAGATTTAAGTAAATGACAGAGTATATGGAGATAATTGAGCTGAAATTTATCAGTATTCTTAAGACACAATAAAATACAAAGAATACACAGATATTCATTATAGATTAAGGATTGTGTTAATCCAAATTTTTCTAAGAGACCTCTGCTAATTGACAGCAAAATCTGAGTAGTCTATTTAATTTATAAATTTCTAAAATTATAATAGTTACTGTAATTCACTTTGGTAAAAAATATATTTGAGTGCACTCTGATTTTGTAAAGATGTTTGTTCTGTGTACTAGTTTGTGTGTTTGTCTGTCATTCAGTGAACAGCTATTCCCCTTTATTTTGAGCTCAATATTTTTCTTTTATCATTTGTTCATAATACAGTTGGGTTATAGATTTAAAAACGTGCTTTCACCTGACTTACCAGCTGGTTTAAATGATATCAAAATTAAGATATTTAACTGCAGTCCTTAGGTGGAGAAATTATTGGGTAGGATCCAATTGGTGAATAGAGGAGTTGCCAACCTTTATTCATTAATAAGGAGCCCCCAGTGATCTCCATAGTCTCTTGAGAGACACCCCAATAATTGGATCTTTTGGTCAAAAGAAAGTTTTTCATTAAAATTACAGTAAGGTTTTCTCATAAAAGATGCTCTTGGTACAAAACTAAATTTTAACAAAGGTTTTCACATGTACATAGTAATTCATTTGTGTTAATCTCATGATGTATTAAATGTATTTAAAATTTTGGATGTATAGGTCTTCCAAAATGGAAAACAAAGATTGTGTATTGCAATAAGACTTTCCTTCCGATTCAGACCTCTGCCTTTAACAAAAACTTGCGATGTATATCCCATTAAAGGACAACAAATTAGATAAAAGCTTCTTATGTATTAGAGATACTTGGCTGAGGAGCTGGGGATTTAGCTCAGTGGCGCAGCGCCTGCCTGGCAAGCGCAAGGTCATGAGTTCGCTTCCCAGTACCAGAAAAAAACCAAAAAAATAAAAATAAAAAAATAAAAATAGAGATGCTTGGTTAAAAAGGTCATGTTGTGTCAAAATAAAAATTCAAAAGTATGTTACAAAATGTTATCATGATTGCCATGTAGCTATGTTATGTATGGCTTTGATTTCTAAATTTTTGGGTTAAAAATATGTAACTTTTGTTTGTTAACATTCTATTAGGATTTAAATATTAGGATATCCATAGTTGTTAAAAAATAACGGTTCCATTTGTATGTTCTAAGTGTTTGCTATTCAGATCAGATTGTAATATTAGGCTTACAGCCTTCCTTACAATGTTATGTCATTAATCCTCTCTGCTGGATGTTTAACTACTGAGGTTTGGAGACCAAAAATTAGAGAAATAAATTGGGCTAGAGGACAGCCAATATTTTGGCTACACCCTCCTAGGTCAGTAAAGACTCAGGACAGAAGAGAACCTCTGCTGTGATGTCTTATAACTTGCTTGAGTCCCTGATTTTCTGATCAAGAAGATTATGGGACTACAGAGAAAAGTGATTCTGCGATATACAGTGTACCTAAGGAGAGTCACCAGGAGAGAAAAAATCTCTCAAGCTTTCCCAGAAAGCACCTTGGTCAAGCAATGGCCATGACACATCCAGACAGCTGACACTAACAGATCAAGAGATGCTGTACTTGGTTCCAAGGTGACTCCTGAGGAGACTTAACTGACCTTGATAGATAGCAAAAGGTTAAATTTTTATTTATACAGGTCTCACTTTAACTTGGTCTTGACCATCCAGCAGAAGAGTGTAACCACAAGATGTAAAGAAGCAATGCCACAGTAATGGGTTATCCATAAAAGGTTCAAGTCACCAACAACTTCTGACAGTTGCCAGCTAGACTGATAACTGACCACGGTTACGGACTTTAGACTATATTCTTCAAGCACAGCTTTTCCAGCTTCAACTGAACACCCATCACTTCTGCAACTAAACAGAAAAGGGAGATGTGTTGGGAGCCACTGGAGCTGGCTATTGGTCAAGCAGTCAAGCTACCACAGTACTGAAAAATGCATCCTGCCTGACAATTACAGTCGTTAGTTGCTAGGCAACATTACCCCCCCATGATATTAACTTTGCAAGTGTATAAAATAAAGGCCCCTACTTTTGAAGTCAGTCCTCTTACTCATCAGGCAAGAGGTAAATACAGCTGCCCCAGGCTGTCCTCTCTTGTCTTTATTTTCTAAATCCTCTTGCCCGTTTTCTCCTGGGGACCACCAAGGGACCACTGAGTCCCACACTTAAAAGCAGAGCAGAGTCATAAAATGGGAACAGAACAAACAGGACAGATTGGGAAGTGGGCTAAAAGTTAAACTGCAATGGTGATTTGGAATGTGGTTGTCTGACCTTCTGGGAGAAGTAAACTTTGTGCTAATTGTGTGGCATTCTTGTAAGAGTCCTCAAAGTGAGGTAATCCTTACTATAGAAACCTAAAATGTACTTAAACTGAACATGGGACCCAGCTTGGTGCGGACATATCCTCTGGCTCCTGGTTAGAGATGGTCCGACAGCCACTAATAAAGCTTTGTTTGTTCTAGCCTTTTTGGTTTTTTTGTGAGTGCGTTTCCTGTTGAACTCACTTGCCATATCAGAGGTACTTTAGTAAAATATCTTTTTAAATATCTCAACTTTGTTTTTAATTCATTTTATTTTATTTCTAATTTTCTTGCTTCGTGCCTTTGAGAGAGTTCTTGTATTATAGACACTAAGTTTTTTCATCAGATGTGTGACTTATAAACATTTTTATTCACCTTTGGCTTGAATTTTTATGGAGATGAGTGTTTTTCAAAGAAAAGGAGTTCTTAATGACAATGAGATGGAGTTCATCACTGTTTATGTGCTGTGGTCTCACTGTCTGATCTGGGAACCCGGCCTCACCGAAGGCCTTAGAAAGTGTCCATTATGTTTCTTCTCAATATGTTGTTCTACTAGATTTTATATCCCATCCACTGTGAGTTCATATTTTTGCCTTTGTTGAAAAGACCACATGTTTTCACTGAATTATGACTGTACCATGGCCAAATTCAACCAGTGTTACACATCTGGGTCTGTTCCAGGACTCTAATTGATTCCAGTGGCTTGTCTCTCAAGATCTCAGTTACACACTTCTGACTGTTATAGCTTAAGAACAAGGTGTAAGGCAATGTAAATTCTCAATTATTTTTCTTTTTTTCAAATTGTTTCAGCAAGCTTTAATTATTTGCATTTCCCTGTGAATTTAGATTAGAGATATAGTTGATGTTTGTGTTTCAATTTTGTAAGCTCATTAAATTTACTCACTAGTAGCCTTTTTCATAGCTTACATTAAGTTCCCTACAAGTGATCTTATTTCTGGTTAATAAAGACAACTATGTCTCCTTTTCTATTTAGATACCCTTTCTCTGATCTCTTGCTTTCTGGCATTCCACTGAACATACACTACAGCAAATAGCTCTTCATGAGCATGTATGGTATATCTGTGGATTTATTAAACGGTCTTCATCAGGTTGAAGGCGTTCCCTTCTAATTTTATTTTGCTGAGGGTATTTAATCAGGAACAGATATTCAGTCTTGTTCCACAGTGTTTCCCCATCGCTGAGATAACCATATGTTCCTTCAGATTGCTAATATAATGCATTCCATTACATAATTTTAAAATGTTAAATGAGTCTTGCATTACTAGGATAAATTCCACTCAGTTATGAAGTGCTTTCCATTTTATATATTATTGGATTGAGGGTAGTACAATTCTTGCAGAATTTTTCATCTATGTTCATTTTAGTTTTCTTTGCTTGTCATCTCTTTTGTCTTGTTTGGATATCATGGTATAGCTGGTCTCATAGAATGAGCTGAGAAGAGATTTCATAGAATTTTCATTATTTCATTCCCTAATCTTTTCTAGGATTCACCAGGGAAGTCATTTGAAATTACAGTGACCTTGTGAGGATTTTAAGTTCAAGTCTAGTGTTTTAATAGAGTCAGGACTCCTTAATACATCTGTTCTTGTGTGAGCTTTGGTAGTCTGGTTTTTAAATACTTGATCATTTTATCAAATTTGTTAAACATATTGGCATAAAGTTATACATACTTTTCCTTTGTCTTTGTTTTACTATCTATAAATTCTGTTATGACACCATCACTTTTATTCCTAATACAGGTAATTCCTCCCCTGTGTCAACTCACTAGAGCATTATCAATTTAATTTTTCTCAAGGAAGCACTTTCAAGTTTTCAGTTGAATCCCTTTATTGTTTTCAAATCATTGATTTCTGCTCTGATCATTATTACTCATTTTCCCCTGCTTGTTTTGGTTATAACATTTCCAATCCTGGGTATCAAACAGTATCATTTCAGTGAAGGAAGGGCTCCTTGCCTATGTACTATCTCAAGAGGCTTTCAGTGTCAGAGTCTCCAAGCAGAGGTGGGGAAACAATTGCTGAATCATTTAAGGAAAGAAGACCTATCAGTCTCTACTGTCTCATTTTGTTAGCTGAACTTAGAATTTTCCGAGTGTACGCTACACTTTGACCTTCTGAGACTCATGTTGAATTGTAATTCCCATGGCAAGATATTAAGGAAAGAAGCTGGTTGGGGCCTTTCAGAGATTCTTGTGTTCTCTTTTCAGGAAGGGACCCACTAAGCCCCATGTAACCCATGGATTACTGAATTTTGAGCATGGATCTGGCATCACAGCCGGTTTTGCTAGGTCTCTGGAGGTCTCTGTTTCTTCCCATGTGCTGCTTTACCCCACTTTGTGCTTTGTCTGCAACGAGAATGTCTCTAGATGAGGTCCTTCCACCTTCCACAGAAGTGTGAGCCCACAGAACCCTCTTAACTTAAACCGTACCTGGGCCTCATAAGGTTTTACTAGCAAGAGAAGACAGATGAGGTAGGGTACCCGGTATCGGTGGTGCGGAGGCCTCTGAGTGCTTCCAGCTTCACACATCAGTGCCCTGCAGCCAGGGTTGGAATTTGGAAATCTCTGAATCAGAACTAAGTTCAACCCCAGGCAGAGGCTGTTTTCGGTCTGCAGTCCACGAGTCAGGTGAGGACTTATCAATCTAATCAAAGGAGCCAGGCAGCAGACATGAGAAACGCAGTTGACAAAATCCCCTGACTACCTGAGTGTGGCGGAGATGGAGGCCCCACGTGGTCCAAGATGTGGCGTAGCTGCATGTCTCCGGGAAGATCTGTCCACCGATCTTCACACTGCTGACAGTCTGCGGGCATGTGACATAAGATGTTATTTTAATCCTGGGATTTTCAGAACTCATCCTAGAGATGAGGAAGTAAACCATAACTCACACAGTTAAAAGTCTCTTCTACAACTCAACAGTGAAAAACCCAATAACCCAATTAAACAGCCAAGTGGAAGCATTTATGTAGGCAACTCCCAAGGAAAGACACCCAGGTTGGCAAGCACAGGATGTGAAGCTGAATAGCAACTCCCCAGAGAGGAACAGCTCACAGCCACAGTGAGACATCACATGACACCCAGTAGAGTGGCTGAATCAGCAGAGCATAGAGGTGACTGAAATAGGTGGTGTCTTTAAATTGAAAAGAAAAACTTCAGTGAAAGACACAATGTCAGGAACGATGGCACATGTGTGCTCTATGTGACTGGAAGTATTTTGAAAGTCTTGAGACGGATCAAAGCAATGTATCTTTAGTGTAATAAATTTTTAATTTAAACATATGTCAGTTTTTCAGCAGCGCACTACATTCCTGGTAGAAATGTAAAATTATATAGAAGCTTTGCCCAAAAAGCTACATCTTCAAAAAGTTGAACACACAGTTACTGTATGATTAAATTAGATCCATGTGTAGATTTACAGGCAAGATAAGGAGAAGAAAACACGTTTACATGTAAAATGATACAGGAATGATTCATAGCATAATTCACAATTGACAAAAGATGGAAACCATCCAAATGTGTGGCAACTGATAAACAAAATGAACACACAATACTGTTATGAATATTCTTTCTCCATAAAATCAACAATGGATAAATGGTCTGTTGACCCAGCAAGGATGAAAGTGAAAGCATAAGATCAGCAAAAGAAAGCAGTCCCTGAAGACCACACACCGGATGATCCCGCTTGTGGGAGCTGCTCACCGTGGACAAATCCACAGACACAGAGCATGGATCGGTGTTTGTCAGGCCTGGAAGGCAAAGGCAGGAGGCCGTGTGGGACATCTGCTCCTGGACCCGCATCCCATCTCTGTTGGAGGCCATGACAGTGTTCAGCTGCGTGAATACAGTAAAAGCCACTGAACTGTGAGCTTCAAAGGGATGAATGTCATTAAAGCAGAATTTTGAGATCAAGAGCTCCTTGGGATAAGTGAGTTCCTTTACCTCTTATACTACTAGCAAAAAGTAAAACGAGTGGTCTGGGTAAATTGACTGAGCCACCTACACATGGCCAAGGAGCAGCTGGTAAAACTCCCCACCCCTTTTGTTGTCACTGTTGTTTTCTTTAAACAAGGTCTTCCTGTGTATTCTAGGTTGGGCTTGAACCCACTGTGTAGCACTGTCTGCCCTGGAACGAATGGTGACCCTGCTCCCTCAGCTTCTGCATTTTTATTTTTTATTTACTTTTTTTTTAGGGGGATCCTGGGAATCAAACTCAGGACCTTGCCCTTGCCAGGCAGGCACTTATGTCACTGAGCTATAGCCCCGTCCCACCCTCAGCTTCTGCAGTGCTGGCATTGCAGGCCTATGCCCCCTCACCCAATTTGAAAAATGTCCTCTGGCTTTAAGGAGTCAGGGATTTTATCTTGGAAACTGGGAGAGAAAAAGCCATAAATGATTTACTTGCACTGCCCCGACACTGGCTGGAGATGAGGGAGCACAGGGCAAAGCCAGCCCAGGCCGGGCTCTCCATGCGGAAAGGTTTGGTTGGTTTTATCTGCACAGGAGGAGACGCGGCCCGGCGGTCCATCTTCAGTATGTGAGGCGAGGAGGCAGAAAAGTTGTTGTTTTCCTGGCTGGTTTAGCTGGAGGCTGTCGGTTAATATAAACTCTTATCTTTTCCGTCCCCTCTTCCTGCAGGGACCTAACTCTGGAACTTCAGGATTCTCTTATCAGCATTATGTTGTGTATGTTCTCTTTCAGTGAAGTTTTTCTTTTTTTTTTTTTTTTTTTTTTTTTTTTTTTTTTTTGGTTAGGTTTTTTTTTTTTTTTTTTTTTTTTTTTTGCGAAGCGAGGCAAAAACGTATGGATCCCGGCCTTTCAGGGAGTGGGGACCTTCCCAGACAGGGCTGGCACCGAGGGGGTTCCTTTACAAGACCCAGCAGGCCTCACCCCAAGTCAGAGCTCAGGAGATGCCAGGCCTCTGGAGAAACTTCAAAGAGGACGGAGAAGCCTTGGGAAAAGCTCCCTGCTGCCCAGAAAGCTGCCCGCATCCCGTGTTCCTCTGGACATCGCCAGGGACACTTTCACTGGGCTCAGGTCTGAGACTGAGCTGTAGCACAGAGGGTGGGGCTCACAGGGGTCTCGGGTGCCTCCAGGAGCTCCTTGCTGACAAGGGACACAGTCACTGTCCTGAAACTATGCCTCTGCATGTCTGCCCCGGGCTGGAAGAGCAGGGCACACAGCAGCCCTCAGGCCCAGGCCCGGGTAGGAGGAGGGCTGGGCTCCTACATGCTGGGACCTGGGCTCTGTGTGGGTCCTGGGCAAGAACCATCCCAAGTGTGTGGGGTCCCCGCTGGGCAAACACTTTGACTTCATCTCCAGGGCTCCTCTGCATAAAAGGGGACCGACATCCCCAGGGAAGTCTCAGCTTCTCATTCCCCTGTGGCTGCCTGGAATGGGGAGAGCCTGGGTTCCTAGTTCTCTTCTCTGCTCTGATTTTTGTTTGGTGTTTGCCGTTTGGTTTTTGGTAGGGGCTGTAGTGGGGACTGAACTAGGATCTCCCCACATTCTCGGCCCCACCCCGCCCCTTTTTGAAAATTTGAGAATTCTCTCTACACTTCCAAGACTGGTGTCCAAGTCACCATCCTCCTGCCTCAGCCTCTCCCAGTGCTAGGATACCAAGCCTGCCACCCTGCTGGTTCTGTTTCTTCGGCTTCCCCTAATCTGCTTCCACTTTCACAGTTTAATTTTTTCCAGAGCAAAGGCTGCAGTGCTTTGTGGCAACAAGGACATCACACCTCCTCTGCCCCACGGGGGCCTTTGTGGCCCAGGGGGTCAGGCACGTGGACAGGACGTGGGGACAAGAGGACCGGACAGGACAGCCCCGACCCCTAAGGCCAAAATACTCACACAGCCAGGGCTACAAAAGCTCCATGATCCTGGCCAGCCGCAGCAGAGCAGCATCTTGCAGTCCTGAGATCTGTCGGGTGGGGTCCAGGCTCCAGAGGCGCGGCGCACCGTGGAAAGGTGAGGACAGGATGTGGCAGCTTGGATGGGGCCTGAGGAGGTTCCGACCCAGGACTGAGCTGGGCGTGCACAGACCCTGGCGCACAGAGATCCGGGCGCAGAGAGAAATGAGTGCGCAGAGTGAGGCGGGCTCGAAGAGACCAGGGTAGGAGGAGCGACCCAGGTACCGCCAAGTAGCTCCTGCGGCTGCAGCTCTGGAGCTGAGGGGCGCAGGCCTCCTTGCTCTCTGGGGCTGCCCCTGCCACCGCCCTCGCCCCTTCTTCCCTGCAACAGCCCCGCCCCGCTTCCTCCTGTCCTTGTTCGTTCTGGTCCACTCTCTGTCTCCCTCAGCACCCAGCACCCCTGCCCATCCCGTCTTTCCTGCCCCTCACCCCAGGACACAGAAGCCTTCTTTCTCCTGAGCCCCATCCCCTGTGGGACTCAGTTCCTGTCCCCACATCCTGCAGGCGGGGCGCAGTCCCTGGGAGAGGCTGCACGCAGCGGGGAGGGCGGCTTTGGACAGGAGGAAGGGAGGGAGGCGGCCTGGGCGGCCCTGAGATGCGGGGTGAGCGGGGAGCACAGCGCCCAGGGCGCAGGGGCCTTCAGAGTGGCCAGAGCCATGGGACCAGGAGGGGCGCAGAGAACCACGGGAGCAGGGAAGGGGGCGGTGTTCAGCCCTGGAGTAGAGCAATGGTGTGCAGGGACCTACGCTGATTTGCATGGTGGTGAGGACAGGCAGGGGACACAGGCACCACAGTAGCAGGGACTGCAGGGGTCTGGGGAGGAGCCTGAGGTGTAGACAGGACCCCGGGTCAGAGTGGGAGGTGGAGAGAGATTGGGGGAGGGGCAAGGCCGGTCCTTGGGAGTGGGTGGGGGAAGAGCGCTGATGGGAGGGGCCAGGGCGGTCGCCCAGGAGAGTTGGGACCAGGGAGGGGCGCGCCCCCAGTTTCTGAGGGAAACCTCAGTTCCTTAGGGAAAGTGAAAGCAAACAGGAGAAGCAATAGCGTTCTCTCCCTGAGTCCAGGCTTTCGGTCACATGATTTCCGGAGCAGGACAGGATGGGGAGGAACTCTGAGCTGGATGCAGGCAGCCCACCCTCAGGGACACAGGCTGCAGGGCAGGAGAGACAGCAGGCTGGCGCCCTCTGCTGGCCGGACCCTCAGCTGTCCCTGCAGCAGAAGGCTGTGGCCTCACAGGGGATTGGACCTCAGCCTGCATCAGGCAGCAGCTCCTATCTTTGTGCATTCAGGGCCTGGTGCACAGCTGAAAATCTCACGGGGATTCTCCACACACAGAGGCGAGAATAAGCACAGGGAGGGATGGTGAGGCCAGGCTAGAGGTCCTCCCTGCTCACCACTCTGGGTCGCCTTCTCTGTGCCTCCTAAACCCCCTCCTTCTCTTCCTCTTTTTCCCTGACTGTGTGCTGCTCCTGGAAGGGAGGAGGTGGTGCTTATGGAAAAGAGGCAGAGTTGACTTGGCCCAGCCTGTCCTGTGTGAGTTCCCGCCCTCGCATCAGTCTGTGTCCTTGTGCAGATGAGAGTGTCTGTGGTTTCCCTGAGGCCCGCAGGCTGCTCTGGGCTGCTGCCACCATCACAGCTGGCTAATTCCCCTACAATCTGGGCATAGTTTTGGAAACGGAGTGGCAGTGATTGGACTTTTTTAGGTCCAGCTTAAAATATTTGCAAGCTTTGCGATGGAATCCAAAAGCACACTTTGCAGGTGACCAGAACTCTATCAGTGGACACTGGGGTGAGTTGCATGACGTGGCCCTCTGGTCTTTGCCTGTAGACTTCATCATGAACACGCTGTCGGAAGCCAATGGCGCCTTTGCCATCCGCCTTTTAAAGCTTCTCGGTCAGGAGGACCCTGCACGCAATGTCTTCTACTCTCCCTTGAGCGTCTCCTCAGCCTTGGCCATGCTCCTGCTGGGGGCCAAGGGGAGGACAGCGGCACAGATCGTCCAGGTAGGTTGGGCTCTGCCCCATCTTCTTTAGTGACAAGATGTTTTTGGGTTTTTGTTGTGATTGTGACAGGTATGTGACCTTCCCCAAATAATAACCCAGAAAATTCACAAAATTTTGCCTGGCACTTTGTTGAGGAAATGAGCTGAGGCTGGAGTGGTGCTGTGGTGAGCACTGCCTCGTGTTTGATCCCCAGCACCACAGAGGGGTAAAGAAAAGAAAAGGATTCTGGGATTATTTGAAACAAAATCCCCTGAGATCTGTCTCCTTTTGGAGCATAAGACTTTGTAGCTGTAATTAGTCATTGGAGCCTTGCTATCTCAGGGAGGGGACAAACAGAACAGGACATGGCTGGGTCAGAAATGAGGCCTTGATCACTCTAGGGACCCTGGAAGCTCCAGTGTGAGCCATGCACCAGTCATTCAAGGCTCATCTGAAAGATCACTGGACTGCTCCCTCTCCCTAGGGGGTCACAGGGCGGGCAGGAGACAGGTGCTGAGAAAAACCCAGAAGGCCGCTCCCTGGCACCTGCTGGCCCTGCGTGGAGCTCTGCACAGGGCGTGCTCTGCTCCATCATGTGGGTCTCAGTGTAACCCGCACTCCCCGAAGGACCCTCTCAGTAATGAGAGCTCTTTTTCCCCTGTTCCCTGCTCCCTGCGGGAGGTCCTAAAGCAGATGCCCAGGGGGCAATTCCTACTGGTGGTTCTTAGGGTCCTCTAGGCTCTGAGCTCCCTGAGGATCTCTGTGAGGGAGCCTCTTCCCACTCGTCTGGCAGCTGCAGGGGCGCCAGGCTGGGCTCCCTGAATAGCGCCCAGCGGATCCCGGCTGCTCAGGATCTGGTCTCACACTGGGGTCACTTCCAGTCCTGGGCTGCCGCAACACTAGGGCTGCAAGAGGATTTCTAAACATGATTTGATTTTTCATGTTGCCAAAAGCTTTAACAATTCCAGCGAAGGAAGGAAATTTTCTTATGGAATCTGCCTGCAGAGACAAACGTGTGAGCATGAAAAGCATTTTCGTCCAGTCCCGTGGGCCCATGTTCCCTGGAGATTTAACTCCTTGATTATGAACTGTGTCTTTGCTTCTATGAATGTTCTCCCCATTCCTGCCGGGATTCGGTGAGGTGACTCCTATAAACATGTGCTTGACGGAGTTAGCTCCCAGTCATCTCAGGGATGCCTCAATATCAGTGAAGCTGGTCTAACTCTCACTTTCCTTTCTTACATTATTCTTGTGGTAAAATTCATGCAAAATTTGCCGTTCGAACCACTTTTTAAGGTTGCAGTTCAGTGGCACTGGTTCAATTTTTGATATTTTCTTACCAGTAATCATTAAGATTTATGTAATGATTTTGCAGCTCTTAAAATTTTCCTATTATGGAGCAGTATCATTAGGAAGAAAATCATTGAATATTGGAAAAAAACTTTTTAAAGACCACCTACCTCTTTTAAGAAGCAGTTCTCTGTAACTTTTCTTGTTCTTTTGTTGTCTTCGGTAGAGTCACATCCCTGTTTTCTAGGTGTTAAAAAAATTCAGTGTGGGCACACTCCTGGAATGCCAGCACTCTGGGAAGTTGAGGAAGGAGGATCTCAAGTTCTAGACCATCTTGGCCTATTTAGTGTTTTAGCGAGACCTTGTCTTAAAAAAAAGAAAAGAGAAAGATTGTTATCATTCTTCCTCACAAACCGTGGCCAAGGTGCAACAGGACCCATGAATCTGCGCGTCTGTGGGATCAGGCTCCACTCACTCCCTCTGAGCAGTTTGAGCCACTCCCAGGAGAAGCTCAAAGCCTTGGGTGACTGGAGACCACAAGTACCAGCAGGAGGTGTTCCACTTTGCCTACTACAAGCTGCTTAAGAAGGCAGATGAGGGGTTAGCATCGCTGAGTGAGGATGGAGTTCACCCGTCTCCATCCGAGAGATGGCCTGTGTTTCTGGACTCTCCTTCGGTATCATCAGTGGGGTCTTCTCTGTTATCGACATTTCAGCCAACGCACTTGGGCCAGGTGTGGCTGGGATCCATGGAGACTCACCACATTTCTTCCTGACCTCAGCCTTTCCGATAGCAGCCATTATCCTGCTGCATACCTTTTGGAGAGTTGTGTTCTTTGATGCCTGTGAGAGGAGATGGTACTGGGCTTTGGGCCTGGTGGTTGGGAGTCACCTACTGACATCAGGACTGACGTTCTGGAACCCGTGGTATGAAGCCAGGCTGCTGCCATCTATGCAGTCACTCTTCCCATGGGTCCCTGGGCCTTCATCACAGCGGGAGGGGCCATCCGAAGTATCCAGCACAGCCTCTCGTGCCCCTGGCAGGAGGACAGTCAGGTGATAGTGTATTATGCCCTGTATATCCCGCCCGAGGACTGAGGGAAACAGTGGGGTGGGGGGACCCCTGGGCCTGGGGTGCCCTCCTCCTCGCCCTGTATTTCTCCATATCCAGTTCGGGACAGTGCAGGCTGCCAACAAAAGAGACGTAGTTCAGCCATTGCCCTGGAGATGACATGATCGGAAGCTCAAGGGTAGATGCAGTCTGAGTGTTCCACTTCCCTCTCCCCAGATGGGACGTCCTGGTCTTTTGCTCAGCTCCGAAGGAAACCATTTTTGATGTGATAAAGACCTCAACTGCCTTTTATTTTTGAAGTTGGGGGAGGAGGTATGCTGAAACTCTTCTAACCTCCTTGGACTACAGCTTCCCTCCTTTTAAGTTGCTCCTCATGGCTGGGCTTATTTCTATCCCTTTTCCTGTCAGTCCCAGGCCCTGGGAGGAAGGAAGGAAGTGCACTTTTGGGAACTGGTATTACTGGAGCTGATGGTTGTAACCTCCTTCACCACCAGCGTCCCTCCTCTCCCCAAAGCGAAGTGGAGGGTGCTGGGGGAGCTGGCCCACTCTGCAGCCCCGGTGCCCCTGGAGGGGTGAGGCTACTGTGGCATCACAGGGAAGGAGGGCAGATTTTTTTCTAGTTTTTAATTCGGGTGGAGTGGGGGCCTATGGAGGTTTTCTATAAACTGCGTCATTTTCTGTGAAGAAAAAGGAAAATGAATTTTTAACTGATACATAAAAGCCTAAGAACTGTATGTATTTGTGGATTAACTGATGTTTTGATGCCTGTAGATTTAATTGTATAATGTTTGAATCAGGGTAGGTACACATGTCTACGTGGAACCATTATTTATTTAGAATAGAATAGCACAGTGACTATATATGCTACCCGTGATTATGATTATATAGTGCTACTTGTGATTGTACAGGTACAGGAGTTATTTACTTAGAAAAGAGGTATTTTTTTTCTTTTAAATACTCAACAATGATGGTAGAGCCTTCACATCGAGCCAACCCCATTAAAAATAGTTTATTCTCAGTCTTTTAAAAATTGTTTAAAAATTCCTCCTAAATTACCTGCTTTTGGGGTTTTTTTTTTTTTTTTTGGTTTTTCTCCGGTACCGGGAACCGAACTCACGACCTTGCGCTTGCCAGGCAGGCGCTTTGCCGCTGAGCTAAATCCCCAGCCCCCCTAAATTACCTGCTTGCTGATGCTGGGCTTGAACTTTAGATCCTCCTGCCTCATCCTTTCAGAGTGCTGACATTATAGCTGTCTGCCACCATTCCAGGCATAAAGAAGTGTTTTTAATAATTACACATGATGAACATTTCCATGTTACTGGTATTTTATTGGTACTTTTGATTTCTCCTGTGAAACATTAATGTCAGTGCCTAAAACCTGTAAAATTTATTTTCTCTGTACTGTAAAATAGAGCTCCAAATCTCCCATTGAGCAACACCCTCAGGCTTTTTAAATTTTGAGACAGTCTTGCTCAGTCCCTAAATTGCCAGACTGAGCTCAAACTTGCACATCTCCTGCCTGAGCTTCCCAGATTGCTGGGATTACAGGCCTGTACTACCATGCTGAGCTGGGATCTCTATAAAGCTTCTATTGCAGAATCAATTGACATATTTCTCTAGCCTAATACATATTTTTAAAATAGGGACTGGGGATTTAGCTAAGCGGCAAAAGCGCCTGCCTGGCAAGCGCAAGGGCGTGAGTTCGGTTCCTGGTACCGGAAAAAAACAAACAAACAAAAAAAAAAACAAAACAACATATTTTTAAAATATTAGAGCCAGGGATATATTTCAGCATAACAAGCACCTGCCTGGCAAGTTCAGGCTTCTGTGTTCGCGTCCCAGCACCAAAAAATAAATAAACAAAATATTAAAGTACCACTTAAAATATATGTAATAAATAATCTCTCTAGGATACAATTTGAAGAACTCTGTTTTAGTGCTGTTAATCATGTTGCTCCTTTTATACCCTTATTCTTGTTAATATCCCCACTGTGCTAAGCCTGCACATTCTCCTTGCAGTTTTAGAGCTTTTAACCATTTCTGTCGTTTTGAAATGAATTTTACAGGTCAGTCTTCTTCTGTGTCTGGTGTATTCCTGCCCAGCAGGGGATGCAGGCTTTATAACAGCTCCACTCTCAGCTTCTCTGGGCCTTTTCATTTTCCTTTCCTTTCCTTGAATCCAAAGCAGACAGAAGAGCCACACCTTTGACCCCGTGTCCTGTCCCCTCCGATCTGTGCACTGTGCGTCTTCTGCAGGATGCACTGCTCAAGGAAAAAGTAAAGCAGCCTCACTGGGTGATGTGAGGCATGCCTGCAATCCCAGCACTCAGGAGGCTGAGGCAGGAGCATCACCATGAGTTTGTGTCCAGCCTGGGCTACACAGTAAGATCCTCCTTCAGCAAAATAAAAACGGAAACCAAACCAAACCAAAACAACAAGTTCCTCACAAAGGGTGATTTTATGGGGTACTTGAGAGCAAACTGTTGCTTTGGGAAACTCTGTGTGAGACTGACAGTGCGCACTGACTTTCTTCACAGGCGCTGGCGTTCAACACGGAGGACGACATTCACCGGGGCTTCCAGTCGCTGCTCACCCAGGTGCACAGGCCTGGGGCTCCGTTCTCCCTCAGCATAGCCAACAGGCTCTTTGGAGAAGAGAGCTGCAAAATCCTCTCAGTGAGTTCAGTCCTAAGAACAGGAAAGTTGATTTAAAATACCTGGTGCCCAGGGTGCAGGGGAGGACACAGAACTTGGAGAACTGAGGGGAAAGCTTGTTTTTCAAACAATGACAGCGCTCTAAGGATGCCTTGCACGATTTCCCATGTGAAGGTCTTGGAGTTTCTTCATTTATGTCCAGTTATTCCAGACTCAGCACATCCCCACCTAGAACTGGTATCTGACATCTCGGGGATTCAGTGTGAGATCTTCTACATGATAAGGGTGCCCTTTTTCAGTTGTACGAGAACTAGGTAGTACTGAGAATGCGCGGCAGCTTGCAAACCATTTGTGGAGCCCCCTGGCCTCACCTGACCGTCTCTGTCCACAGTCATTTCAGGAGTCCTGTCTGCAGTTCTACCAGGCAGAGCTGGAGCAGCTGTCCTTTACCAAAGATGCAGAGAGGTCCAGGGAACACATCAATGCTTGGGTGTCCAGCAAGACTAAAGGTGAGCATGAACGGTTCCTTCTGCTTCTCTGGTCTCCCCACCTCTCCTCATCCCTTCCTCCCTGTTTGGGCCTGATCCTCATTCACTTCCAGTTCAGACAGTGAAGTATTCCAACCCTGGCCCTGAGATCACTGGTGGCTGGACACGTGAAGCATTCACATACTCGTGCCCCACTACGAGCTTTCATATTTCTGCTCACAAATGAGAAGGTGGCAAGTGAGAGGAAGTTTTCCTGAAGACACAGGAATTATTCCCCCCAGTTTTTTTGCAATCTTTACCACTTGTGCCCTCTTGAAGCAGCAATTGGCAAGGCTGCATTAAATCATGAGAAAGTAGCCCTGGATATCCAGGGGAAGAGGAGCGAATCCAGCTCGCCCACTTTATCTTCCACAGGGATGCCTGGAGCTCTGTCTGGAGATCAACAGTGATCTCTCTCCCCTGGGCTCCCAGAATCCCCTCATATGCCCATCAGCCACTTCCTCCCTTTGGCCCTGTTCTGGCCGCCCCTCACACTGACTCCTCTCTGCCCAGTGTTAGCTCTGGGTGTGAGCATGGAACCTTAAACCTCACACTGCATTTAACCCCCGAGGGACTGCAGTCCCGCCCAGCGCATCTCTCCTGTCCTGCTTGCTGGACCTCCAAGCTGCCCTTTCTTTCTCATCAGCTGCTCTCCTAGAGTGACTCAGAAGCCTGTCACCTCCTCCATTTGGTGGATGCTCCCCAAGTGTCTGTGTGCACGAACACCACTCCTTGGAGTTGTTTCTGTTTAATTCATACCATCCTAACTCAGCTGGTTTGAAATCATCACCTTTAAATCTGCCAGGACGCTGCCCTAGAGTCTGTCCATCGTGTGTGTATAAGGAGCCACTGAATGTAGTCTCTGCTTTCCCCAAAAGGCAAAATTGAGGAGTTGTTGGCAAAGGATTCAATTGGAGAGGACTGCAGGCTGGTTCTCATTAACGCTGTCTACTTCAAAGGAAGCTGGGAGGAACCGTTTGAAGAGTGGAGCACAAGGACAGTGCCTTTCAAAATAAACCAGGTAAGGAGAAGCTTTCAACAAAATCATTTCCTAAAGTAGTGGAATAAAAAAATTTAACTGTGCAAGGACATAAGTGATTAAAAATTCTTGGCAACAGATTATTTCTCAGTTGACTTTTAAACTCAGGAAAACAAAATCTGTGGAGTACAGACTATTTGGTGCATATAATTTTTGCATTAAATGACTCTTCTCCCTTCTGATAATTTCTCTTGCATTCACGCCAACAACCTGAGTCTGAAAACTGAAGATTTTTCTTTAAGTGTAAATTGTCAGGTAGAAGCAATAAAAACAAGTGATAGGATATTGTGTTATATGTATGGGGCACTGGGCAGTGTTGCAAAAGTGCATACATTTAACCAAGTAATTTTTAAATTAATATATGTATTCATTTCAAGTGTTTATTAAAAATTATTAATTCAATATTTACAAATTTCTAACCTAGTAAACAAGTGGCAAAATGTAGCTCCTGATGTTTTCAACTTCAATCAAAGCAGAATTAAAATAATTTGCCAAGTCCTCTAATCCCTGTAAAAACAGAACTAATTAGCAAGAAAACATTTAGGATGTTTATCCATGTTCCACTACACCTCCATTTTAAAAGAAGATGCACTTCCTGTAGTGATTTATGTATTGTTCCTTATGGGACTGGGGAGGGGGTGTCTTCCAGAGCCAAGCAATACCACATGGAAAATTCAGAGCTTCCCATTTTATTTTGCTGGCCTGGACATGTCCCCAGGCTGCCCCTGCCTTGGTCCACACTCCATGGCTTTTCATGCCTGTGGGAAGTGCTGGGTGAGGTTTTCCCACAGGTTAGGTGGAGCACAAATACCATTTCCCTGGTGGCAGTGGTATCGCTCAGGCAAATTCTTGGCAGCCTTCTTGGTCCTTGGATAATCCACATGACATGCGTGCCCCTCTGCTCACCCCATCAGAAGGAGCAGAGGCCGGTGCAGATGATGTTCCAGGAGGCCACATTTCCTTTGGCCCACGTGAGCGAGGTGCAGGCCCAGGTGCTGGAGCTCCCCTACAAGGGCCAGGAGCTGAGCATGGTCCTGGTGCTCCCGGACGAAGGCGTGGACCTCAGCACGGTGAGACAGGGGTCTGTTTGTGTGTTTGCCGTCCTTCCCAGAGCATCTGGTGACATCCCTGTGTCCTTTCCCACCAGAACTGCACTGGCACACACTCCTGCCCTTGGCCATCAGTCTGTCCCCCTCTCTACTGAAAGCCAGTCAGAGTCCCACCTTGTTGTGTCCAGCAATGAGCTCCCCTGGGATGAGCAGCTACCGGGATGCTAAACTCAGCAGCAGGAATGAGCTAGAGGGACAGAGCTGAAGAGAGGAAGACCCTGCATTTGTTAGGAGGAAAAAGCAGAAGATAGGCAGCTGCCCCAGACAGGACAGGCCCGGAAAGATTGAAGCCCGTGGACCTTTGTCCCTGGCTTCTTTCATGATGTTTTGGGGGACCCTCACTCCTCTGACACTGGTCACAATTTGACTGGCTCCTTGAGCTGTCCTTTGATTAAATGAGGCACGGAAGCCTATGTGGACATTGCTTTAGTGGGCTTGGTCTGACTTATGCCTTTGTCCTTTCATGTCTTTATGTCAGGGAAGAGCAGGTGGTTTGTTGGGTGGGGCTTTCTGGAAGGTCAGCTTCCAGTTAGTAGGCAACGTGTGGATCTGTTGTAGCGACACAGCGACACTACAGTGGAGAAAATACCTGTGCAGTTGCATAGGTGCGGGGACACACTGTACCCTCTGGGGAAAGTTCTCCCTAAAGTGGTCCCCGCCCTCTCTCCTGTGTACTGTGCTCAGCCAGGAGGACACTGTCCTGGCTCTGTGTTCCTGGCCTCTCTGTGCTCAGCCCGTCTGCTTTCTCTGGTGTCAGTCCCAATGCCATCTGTGCTACCTGTGTCTTTGTGTCTGGTTTTCCTTTTTTCTCATTCCTTGTCCTTGTAACTGTGTCCAAGGGACTTCATTTATGAAGCTTAAACTCTTTCTAGCCAGGATCCGCCAGAAAGCCCAATGAGGCCTTCACGCTGTTCTTTCCCTGAAGACAGGCCTGTTTCCCTACAGCCTCAGGCCCCTGCCTGCGTGGCTGTTGGCCACAACACTTTGTTCCTTGCTCATCAGCAGTAGTTTGTCCACTCCAAAGTAAGGCTCATTCAGAAAATGAAACATCTCAGACAGCCCAAATCCCCACAAAGGGCAGCCACCTGGCAGAGACTAGTCCACAGTGGTGGCAAAGAGGGGCAGCCCCGTCTCCTACCTCAGGAAGGCGCACCTGGGATGGCATTGCAGCAGCTTCTCCAGGATAACCCAGGACCTCACAAGCTCCCAGGCAGCTGCAGGGACAGTGTGGGACAGGGGGCACCAACTGCCGGCCAGAGGGGTTTGGGCTGCCCCTGGGAGGGACCGCTGTGGATGGGCACTGAGGTCAGAATGGTCAATGCTGTTCCCGGTCTTTCAGGTGGAAAAATCCCTCACTTTTGAGAAATTCCAATCCTGGACCCGTCCAGAGCACATGAGGAGGACTGAAGTGCAAGTTTGCCTTCCGAGATTTAAACTGGAGGAAAACTACCACATGGAATCTGTGCTGTGCGGTCTGGGCGTGGTGGATGTCTTTTATTCTGCCACTGTCGACCTGTCCGGCATGTTGGCTGACAACAACCTGTGTGTGTCCAAGTTTGTGCACAAGAGTGTGGTGGAGGTGAACGAAGCAGGCACGGAGGCTGCGGCAGCATCACAGTGTGAGCTTTCGTTCGATTGTGCAAGGATTTTGCCGGCGTTCTGTGCTGACCACCCCTTCCTGTTCTTCATCAGGCACAACAGGACCGGTTGCCTGCTGTTCTGTGGCAGGTTCTCGTCTCCGTGAGGGGCGCCCTCCCTGTGCGTGCAGCCCTTCCCTCTGTGTCCCCAAACCCCATCCAAACCCCATGAAGTTCGCTCATTAGAAGAGCCAAGTGCCGCCTAAGGGCAGATTGGCATGCACCTGACCGTCTCTCCGCACAGCGCACCACGCATGCGCTCTTCTTTCCTCGCACTGCCACTCACTTGTGCCGCTCAACCAGTATCTCAGGTCAGCAGACCGCCATGTTGACTGCAGGGCAGAGAGCAGATCCGCAAGCGGAGTCCACAGTTTTCCTGGATGGTCACAAACACCTCTCGCACTCAGTATGCGAGCTTGTTATTGTACTCACACTGTGCCTCCTAGAGCCTCCAACCCTGTCACACACGTGCCTCAACCGCACCTTCTCAACAGCAGTCCATGCCGCTGGCTATTACTATTCCTGGGACAGTTTTCCTGCTGCCTGGACCTTTTAAAGAAGTGCACATTTGAATTTTATTTTATTGGACATTTGCTGTTCACCAGGTCTGTGCAGAACACGGCATTCGGCCCGGAGACAGAGTCACACTTCTTCAGCAGCTGCTTTGATGGTCTGTGCCCAGCTCAGACAACTGTTGTGGCAGCACGGTGCACTATTTCATCTCTTCAGGCTTGTAGGGATGACAAGTTATTCATGTGATTTGATTTCTCCATCTCCAACCCTAGCAGTTAAATTCCATTCAACACTTAAAATTCATTTCAAATCTCATCTTCTTCAAGAAACTTTTCCTTTTCTCCAGAACCTGATGTGCACTTTGAACTCAAATTGTAGCTGTTCGTGGCGGTAGCTTTATTTATTAATCTTCTTTCCTCTTAGGAAGTCTCACACTTAGGCCTTACAGTCCCTGGGATTCAGATTCCATCTCACCTATCTGTGTGTCACTTGTACTACAGTGATAAGTTGCTCATTGTATACAAGCTCTAACTGCTTTCAGTGGTCAGATATCACCAACTTTATTGTGCCCTTTTAGGATCTCATTGCTTATGACTTTCACGTAACAAAGTTAGTCATCTTAGTACATTATGTATCATGTAACCACCACCTTTATCCAGTTCCAAGAAGTGTTCATTGTCCCCAAAGAAAGCTCTGCCCACTAAGCAGAGAAGCCCAATTTGCTCCTCCCTGCAGCCCTGGGCATCACCATTCTGCTTTCTCTCTCTGTATCAATTTACCTACTCTGAACATTTCATATAAACTGAAGCATATGTATGACCGTTTGTGTCTGGCTTCTTTTCTTTAGTGTAGTATTTTCTAAGTGCATTCGTCACTGTAGCATGTATTGGTTTTTTATTCCCTTTATGGCTATGTAATATTCTTCTGCAGAAATATACTGTAATTTTTTAGCTCTTCATCCATTTGGTTTTTTCACTCATTCGGGTGTATGTAAATACTGCTGCTGTTCAAAGGTAATGTATGATTATCTAAAAAGGGACATATAGAACAGAGTACAGAAAGTATATATCATTATGGTTGGGCTCATGACTGGGGCCTGACCTGGTTACATGGCACAAGGAAAAAAACGTGTGGCCAGGGCTACAACATGCCAATCTGTTACCATGGAAACCAAAAAATGTACATAAAGTGGAAACAAAGGCAGGCAGGGGACCCACATTTCTCACCTGCTAGTTGGGGATGTACAGTGACCCATCTAAAATTAATAAACTCTGTTTGCCCTAAATAGAGTCCTTTGGTCTTCTGTGGAATTCAGCCTATTTGTCGCTACACTTTGAGGCACAAAACTTTTAATTTCCAAATGTCCAGTGCATCTAACTTTGCTATTGTTGCTCATGATATTGGAGTCACATTTTAATAATCCCATTGCCAAATTCAGGAGCATGAGGATTTACCCCTGTGTGTTTTTTTCTAAGAAATTTTTAGATTTAGCTCCTATAGGTAGTAGTTGATCCATTTTGAATTAGTTTTTGCATATGGAGCCAGGTAGAAGTCCAATTTAGTTATTTTTACATATGAAGATCCACTTGCCCTAGTACCTGTAACTGTTTTTGAATTGGAAAAAATGTGTTAGCAGTAGTTTAAAAAGGCAAAATAATACCTAAATAAGCAGTGTACCGTGGGAAATTACTCAATTTGAGTATATCAGAGCCATTACACAAAGAACATCACAACCAGAGAAAGAAAACATTATCAAAATCCATAACAAATTAACAGTAGGATATACACAGAACTCTATCACTCAGACTGAAAAGGCAGTAAATTAATAACCAGAGATACACACAAAATAACAGGAGATACTGCTGTATACTTAGATTTCCATCAGATAGGAAGTTGGATAATACAGTAGTAACAAGGAAGTAGGGCAGTAGGGCCCTTCTGAAACTAGGAAGGGACACATCCCACCTAGGAAGTCCAGACAGTGCCCCATGGGTATGTCCTGGGCCCAGTAGGATCCCTTCTGGGGTGTATCTCCCAGAGGTATATTTGTCCACAGCAATGAAAGGGTGGGGACTTGGGTGCTCATTGGAGCCTTATTTGTGATGGCCACAGAAATGGTCCTGCTCATTCATCTCAAATAGAATGGGTAAGGAAATTGGAGTGCACATCAGGGAGTATATGCAGGAATTGGACACATGTTCGCATATTCCCAGACAGCACTCTCAGTGACCTGATTTCCTTGCACTACGCTCCCCCTTGCAAATGTTCCACCACTTTTGAAAGTCAGCACCCTCATGTCCAAGCTTCCAACACGCAAACCTCCAGGGAACACATTCAAACCACCGTCCAAACCTTTTCTGTAAATACAGACATCCCTGCATCATGCATTGTACAGTGGCACAACCCTGATGCATTTCTTTATTATTGGTGAGAACTTTTTCCTGTATTTATTGGCTCTTGATTTTCCTGTCTTGTGAATTATCTCTTTACATATCTAATTTGAGATTTTCGGGTGCTAGTTTTTTTACATTTTAGATATATCTTTGCCTTTTGAAGGTAAGATCTCTGTTCAATAATTTCTCTCTAATTTTGTGGCTTGCCTTTACATTTTGGTATGATATTTTCCATATAAGCAGGTGCTATATTTATTAACCAGATGTCCACCCAAAGCCTCTTCAGCTCATAGGTGGGGCATTAGAGAGGTGATTGTATTGTGGGGACACAATACCCTCAGTAGATTAATCCACTAGGGAGTTTACAGCTACATGTGATGTTGGGAGATGAAGCAGGTTGGAGGAGGAGGGTCCCTGGGCTTGGCCTGGGAGCGTCTATCTCCCTCCTCCTCCCTTGATCTCTCTCTGTTTTCTGCTTCTCTGCCTTGAGCAAACCCCTCTGCCACGCTGCCCTGTCTTGGAGCCACCCGACTATGGACTGAATCTCTCCAAACTCTGACCCAGAAAAACCCTCTCCTCCTTTAAGTTGTGGCTGTCAGGTACTTGAGTCCCAGGGATGTAAAAGTCACTAACACAAAAGGGGTTTTACTCTGTAGTTACAGTTTTCCCTCTGAGACTTCCAACACTGCTTTCATTTTCAGAACAACTTCCCTAGCAAGAAATCTGTCATAGTCATCTACTTTTTTTCCAAACATTTAAAAAATTGTTTTAGCTACATAGTCTGTGTGGAATCTGCTTTTGTCTTATTAACTTTGTGACTTCTTCCCATGTAACCAATTCCTTAACATTATTTATAAAAGAATGCTCAGTGTTTGTATCTATTTTTACATTTTTATACTTTCAGGTGCATTTTTCTGCAATTTTAAGTACCCAAAATAATATTTTTAGCTTTGAGTTGTTTGAAGGAAAGGATTAGAATGACATTGTGTATAAATTATTGGGTAAATCCATCTATTTACAACCTTATTCTGCTTATTCCAGAAAGTGAGAAGATTCTCCATGTATTCCAGCCTTTGAGACATTGTTTTATCATAACACTTTAAAATTTTTACATGTTTCACCCAGGTTTCATTTTTCTTGTTATGTTATTTCTGTGTTTTCTTGTCATTAGCTCAGTTTTCAAGAAAAGCACTTCCCCTACCTGGTTATAGATTACACTTAAGTGTGCAATTGAAATTTATATGTTTATGTTTACGGGAACAATATGCTGTAGTACACTACTCATTACAGCATTTTTCATAAATTCTTTCGGGGCTTTATGTGGGGTCCCAAGATAGGAAAGACTCTCAGAAAAGCTCAGTCTCCTGCTCAGTGATGTGGCTTGCGGCTGAAAATAGAACCAAGAGAAAACTGCAGTTGCAAGGGGCTCTGGCATGGCCAGGAGCTCTGGGCAACAAAGGGCGAATCTCCACAGCAGCCTCAGCTTTTACTGAATGCGCAGGGAACAGGGCCATGAGCGGAGCATGCGCAGAGGGTGGGGGTTGGATGTGAGGGAAGAGTCACCTCCGCAGAGCCGCTAGCAAACAGGAACAAAGTGTTCCTGTGTCAGGCACAAAACTATCCATTCTCCATGTCTGCTTCATGGTAGTTTAGTGTGTGGCTTCCAGCAATATTTTACTGCTGAGAAAAGACTTTGTTCCAAGCCTTAATGTTTCAGTGCTGACGTGATCCCATATCTGAGTGCTGTCTCCTCATGGGTTGCTTAACTGGCCTCAGGGATGACCATTAAAGGGACAAGTGGGGCTGGGGATTTAGCTCAGTGGCACAGTGCCTGCCTGGCAAGCGTGAGAGTCCCAATATCGGAAAAAAAAAAACAAAAAAAATAAAGAATAAAAAATAAAGGTACAAGGAGTGATGCTGACACGCATGTTACCACTGTCCACGGGTCCCATCAGTCCTTAGCTCATCTCCACTTGTGTTCTCTAGGCAAAATAAGAGGAAATTTCTCTCTGTCCAGCTAGCACTGCCTGCACTGCTATATTTGCTATGCCAGGGTGTAGTCAGGAAAAGGAGAAAGGCTGTAGCAAGGGGCTGCAGTCGGGGGTCTTCAAGACTGTGGGACCACACAGGGTTTGTACTGTACAGGTATACAGTAGGCAAATGATCGTTACTGGATGTCAAATTGAGTGCCCCAGTAAGAGGCGCACATTCTTCTGGGGTTGCTGTCCCTCCTGCTGGGTTTTCTGTGTGATTTATTGATTCTGTTTTCCTTCTGCTTTTGGTATGGCCCAGACACTCTGAGACAGGATATACAAATGCGGGGAATTCTTGTGATGCTCTTTGTGTTAAGGCAGAGGCTGATAATGTGCATTATTGGGGAGCATGTGAGAAAATGGGTGATCTTGTACACTGTGCTCAGGAGAAGGGATTAAGGCTGTTGGAGGGAATCAAACAGCCTTTCAATTTTAAGTGAACATTGTCCTTGGACAAGTACTTTGACTTCAAGGTGTCTGGTCCACAGACATCTTTTCCTGCATACTTAGATATATTCCCGGGTTTTCTCTGCAGCATCGAAAAAGAAGGCCCTGTTATTTGCCCTGCAGGGAATTCATGCTGCTCTCACAGAGTGAGTAGGTTCTCACCAGGGTAATTATGACAGAGCAAGGCTGGCTCTTCATCAGCCTCCTGACTTCCTGTCTTGCCCTGTGATCTGCTGTCACACATTCCCACCATTAGGCCACCCAATCAGTTGTGACATAGCAGGAAGTTCTCATGAGAGTCAGCAGATGCCAGTGCCAGGGTCCTGGACCTTCAGAACGTGCAAAAGAAATAGATCTCCTTTCTGTGTAAAATTGCCTGCCTCAGGTATTTTGTTATCTCACCAGAAAACACTAACACACAGTTTATCCAATATTAACATCATGATCTATGTCCTCAGATTCCTTTCTCATCTAGCTAGGGCACTAACTTCACCATGGTGGCAGGAACCAGTTTACATCATCAGCTCTGCATTCTGCAGCCCACTCAGTGCCTCGTCCTCCTTACAGATTACCAATGAGGTTAAACTCAAAGACAGACAATCCTTGGGGTTCCTCAAGCCACCCAATGTGCTGTCTTTTCTGCTGTCACCGTACCATTAAATCCACACAGAACTTTTTGATGCTGCATATATTGTACCATTATCACTCACCCGTGAAGCCTGCATCACCCTCCAAATCTCTCTTGGCCCAGCCAGCTTGAAGCCCTTCACTGCATCCTTTATCTCACCAGGAGGTCCAAAGTCTCTGGGAGGAGGTTAGCACTGTCATGTCTTGGCTGTATCTTCTTTCCTTAAGAACCCCAGGAAGCTATGTACACTCCTCCCTGGGGACTTCACAGGCACTGAGTACCCTGGCTTGTCTGTGAGACTCCAGCTCAGACAATGCTTCCTTCAGGAAACTCTTCTGAGCCTTTCCATGTAGTGTATGGTGCTTTTCCTTTAAAAAAAAAAAAAAAAATCCCGTGCCTGATGACTCTGGACTTCAAACACCATGAATTTTGGCTTGTTGCTGCCATCCAGCCTTAGCATTGATGCTAGGTGGGGCTATTCTGTGGGCAGCTATTTCCAGGGATCACTCCCTCCACAGTCCTGCTGTGGGATTCTCACATCTTCCTCTGCATTTGGGAAACCTGCCCTGCAGAGGCCTGGGAATTACCAGGCATGGCTGCTCAGCCACCAGA